GCTTCGCATACCAAGTAGCGGGCATTTTGCTAGTATATATATATATATTGTATATTTTGCTCGGTTCTTTGGTACACCAAAGAACCCAAGGTCCCCCAATTGACATGCTATTTTTCATAGATTTCAGAAATATATGTGTATAGGTTTGATAGTTCAAATATCAATGTAGTCCACACATTTATTTTCATCATGTCTACAGGATATTATACATATGGGCCTCTCTTGTATTCACTAGCAGTGGTGAAGGGTATCATATAGTCGGCTACGTCCGACTTTTGAACTTTCCTTACTGGTTAATTTTGAGTTCTCATTGTATAGCACATCCTTGTATTAAAAATTATTATTATTAAAACAATTTTGAGTGTGATCCCCATATAACGATAGCCCCACGTCTCTTTACTAAAAATTATTTCACTACCTAAATTGATCAATATCGATCACAATTTTAGTATAGCCCCATAAACGCTAGCTCCCCTATTAAATCCTCGGGGTGGAGAATATAAAAAGTTCCGCCCGGACTGTCTGAACATCGTTTTAACTTGTTTGTAATGATCGGTTAATATTAAGGGGATGAAATAGACAAAAAACTTTATTTTAGTCTGTTTTTCTGGTCGCTCTAGAGGCCAAAATGTTGACACGAAAATCACGAAATTTTACACAGAGAATGATCGGCCAATATTTAATAGGTCAAATTGGCACAGACTTTTATGTTAGATATGACAAAATTTATTTTATATGTCGTATGTATTCACCTACAAATTTCGGTCATGATCAGGTCATATTTAGGAGATGGAAAGGACCAACAACTTTGTCTGTATGTTTTTCTAGTCGCTCTAGAGGCCACGGAAAAATGGGAAAATTATCTGGCCAGCTATTTATTTACGGTTAAGTGAACTAAGAATTTTGTGTGTAAAATACCCAATATGAATTGTATGGAGTAAATCTTTACTCCGGGGAAACATGATTTGTAGAATATACCAGGGTAAGAAAGTGGAGCTCCTGTCCAATCGATTAAGAGTATGAAAATACTGCCTCGTCCGAGTATACTGCAACGCTTACAGGCTTTATATATTTTCGGTTCTCGTGGGATTTCAAATCTTCCCACCCCATTTTCAGTGCTTTAAAGGTTTAAATACTTTTTCCGTTCTGTTATGCAAGTATCTGTAATTTAGCAGATCAAAAAATATATTTTATTGTAATAATAGCCTAACGTAATTATATTCATCATATGTTAATGTGTTTATTGTGACAGTTAAGGTTATTCTATAATTAAAATCCGTTGTAGCAACTAGACCACAACGTTATGCAAAAAAAAATGTTCACTTAACTCGTATTGCAAACTCGTTATAGGCATTTTAAATATTAATAACAATAATTCTCTATATAATGGGATTACAAATTGAACAACAAGTTCATGTATCGAAATATTAAATTAATTCTAAAACGTAAATACATATAAATTATATATAGCAAACAACATTTCTGCGAAGAATTTTAATTATAGAAATTCAATAAATTACAATAACGAAATGGCAATGATTTCTTTATGATAATAACAATAATCAAAAGTATTTCTCAAAAATTTTACAATTTGAATGTTTTGTGCGTTTTAAAAAATAAAGCAATATATTTTACCGTTATATGGGGCTAACCGAAAAAATTAACCTATATTTATAATTTTCAGTGGAGAGATTTGTTATCATATAAGAACTCAAAGTATTAAGTTACAGTGAATTCGGTCGAAAAATGCACCCAAGAACCCAAAAATACAAGGTGAAATGAAAAAACTGCAATCAACTTCAAACTGCTGCCATTTCTAAGCCACTCATGCAACAGCTGTTAAAGTTATTCCAGTGACAGCTCATTATATCGTTTACAAGCGTACAAAAGCATTTTGGTGAGAATTTTCCAGTAAAAAAAAAATTATTCGTGATGGAATTCAAGCGTGATAGTGTGATTTCTTTATATTTGGCTGGAAAACCACAAGTGGCTATCGTTAGAGCACTCTGGTAGCATACTGATAGCGTACCCCGACGTCAAGGAAGTGGACGAAAGAAAACAGCAATATCAGCAGAAAAGGTTCGAAAAGTAAAGAGGCGACTTGATCGAAACCCGCGTCGCAGTGACCGAAAAATGGCTCGTGAGCTGAACATATCGCAAATATTGAAAAATGAGCTTGGAATAAAGCCATTCTAAAAAGTGCACCGCAACAGAAATAAACCAGTAAGGAAAGTTCAAAAGTCGGACGGTGCCGACTATATGATACCCTTCACCACTTTGGGTACATGCAAGACATGTTGATCGCCCATGTGCTGCATTTCGAGTTTGCTCGAATGTGAAACATTTTCCCAAATTTGGTGTGCTCCATTCCGAATCCCCAAAAAAATATTGGGAATATAATTCGAGCACATATAGCCTTGTGGATTGAAAACGAAATGAGATCGTGGTGTTTTTCTGAGCACGTACAAGTTGAAAAAGAACGCTGAAGTAATATTTAACATGTTTTTACAATATTTATTTAAAAAATACAGTATTTACATTAGTTTTTATAGTAAAATTAAAGAAAATAAAAAGGGCTCTTTTTATCAAAAACAACGCGTAACGTTTTTGAGATCAATCTGGTAACTCAACCACTATATGATCAAAATAAAAATAGAATCTATAAAAATCTACTTTTAAGATTTCCAATAGTCCTTTTAATAATGCAGATGTGTGCACCTTATATCGATGTTGACAAGATCCATGCTCCACTTGTTTATAGGGCGCCAAAAAAGCGTAACCACTGTCTCCTAGTGCTGCCTACCTGCACTCATATGCCAAAGAAAAACATCATGGCTGGATCCTGGTCTGCAGCTGTCCTCAGCTTGTCTTCCAGGACTTTCATTACTCTCCACAATATTTTACACATTGTTGTGCGATCAAAACTTATATCATTTGCCACTACCCTCTGAAACCCACCAACAGCCAGAAATCTTGAGGTACCTGCTAACTGGAGGCTTTCGGGAATGGCACCCTTGTTTATGAAAAGACCCACTTCTCACAAAATATCCATAAATGCTTATTTTAACACATAAGTCTGGATCTAATGCAGTACTCTGTGCAAAATTTTGTCCCAATCGGACAAATATTGGGAGTTTGGTGTATCATTCACAAAAAATCGGACGAAACTATATATGTCTACATCCAAGCCGATTTTAACAAAACTTCGCAGACATCAGTCTGGACCTAATTCAGAACTTTGTCCAAAATTTTGTGCCAATCGGACAAATATTGGGAGTTTGGTGCATCATTCACATAAAATCGGACGACTGTATATATGGGAGCTATATCTAAATCTGAACCGACTCCAACAAAACTCTGCACACATTAATATGTACCTGATTCAGAACGCTGTGCACAATTTTGTCCTAATCGGACAAATATTGGGGGGTTGGTGCATCATTTACATAAAATCGGACGAAACTATATATGGAAGCTATGTCTAAATCTGAGCCGATTTTAACAAAACTTCCCAGGCATCAATCTGAACATGATTCAATACTCTGTGCAAAAGTTTGTCTCAATCGGACAAATATTGGGAGTTTGGTGAATCATTCACCAAAAATGGGACGAAACTATATATTGGAGCTATATCTAAATCTGAACCGATTTTAACCCTTTGAGCCCGGATTTTTTTCCGTGACTATAGAACTATTTTCTCCTTGCATTCGGGAGATTTATCCTTGCATTCGGGAGATACAGTACCTTCTTTCTGAAAAATAAAAGTCCAATATTAAGTAAAGCAAATGCAATATCGACGAAAAAATCACTTTTAATTATTCTTTAGGTTATTTTCTACAAGGCTCAAAAACAATTTGGTGGATACAATTCGTACATTTCGAATACGAAGCTATTTAAATAATTTGTACTGTATACGCTAATTGGTACTGTACACATTTTTGCACTCATCTGTATATTAAAATGCTTATAACTTGCCCAAAATTTTGAATTTTTTATATTTTTCTTTTGATATGTGTCGTATATAATCATATCTTAACATTTGTAATCCAAATAATATACATCTACTAGATGCGTATTAAATATAAGCTCTAAAACATTTTGTTGCCTGTGGGCAACATTGGCCCACAAAGGGTTAACAACACTTCGCAGACATCAGTCTGGACCTAATTCAGAACTTTGTCCAAAATTATGTGCCAAATATTGGGAGTTTGGTACATCATTCACATAAAATCGGACGATTATATATATGGGAGCTATATCTAAATCTGAACCGACTCCAACAAAAAGTTCTAGGGTCAAATAAATGAACTGTGCCAAATTTCGTCCAAATCGGATCATAAATGCGAACTGTACTTTGTTAACAAAAATACATGGACGGACGGACATGCGGATATGCGTAAATCGACTCAGGAAGTGATACTATGTATATTCTCAAAAGGAACCATGGGTCTATCTCGATTCCTTTTGTATGTTACAAACATATGCACAAAGACATGGTAAAGGGTATAAAAAATAGACTCAAAGAGCTAAAGAGTTGCTTCGCTTGGCCGAAAGTGGTAAACTGCCGAATTTTGTTTTCTCCGATGAGAAAACATTGGCTGTTCAGCCGTTTGTAAACAAAGAAATGATCGTGTTTACTTCCCTAAAAATTATGTCCTTTGACTTTGTTGTAGTTTTTTATCTCACCCTGTATATTCGATTTTATGTAAATAATGGTCCTTATGTAAATGGAGGGCCTTTCTGGACAATTCCGTCCGACGTATATTGGTATATATAAAAAGCTTATGAAGAGTACTATTCGCTAACATCGCGAAAATGATTCCAAGTTGGGATAAATTCCACAGTATTTGGCCATTAAATAGGACATTTCCCATAATGGTAGCACCACAAAAGGGATCCTATTTTGCGATCAATTGTTGTCTAACTGGTGGTGGTGGTGTCTAACACTTGCCTACCAACACCACTCGAGGAAACTTGCAGCTGTACATGTACCTAACTTCTTAGTTACTAATGTTGTATTTGTTCGTAGAGGTGTTGGTATCATCATCCGGTAAAGTGTGCAATTCATAGATGGCGGCCTCCACTTTTTCATGCTTTACAATATCCCAGAAGGTTTATACACATTTTAAACCACACTCTGTTGTGCGGAACTTACCTGAGGTGGTAAATATTCTGGAGCCTTAAATGAACTAGTTGGTGGTGGTCCTTTGAAGGGATTGTTCCACGGAGTTTGACTATTTGACGTTGTTATTTGGGATTGACCACCATTCTAGGTATGTAAATATTGTCCCATTGTGACACAATTTTTATAACGTTTGCTGAAAATCGGTCCCGATTTACATATGAACAATTGTCGAATTTCATATAAATACACACTAAGAAACACGCCACAGCCTACCACGTTTTAACACCTTTCCTAATTAAAATTCAATATTTTTTTCTTTCAACAGAAACTACCTACCCGATATCGTAGATTTAGTTAATAATCTAAATTTGTCAGACAATAAATAAGGTCAAAGGTATCCGGTTTCTTGGATCATTCTACAATCAATGACAATTTATATTTTCATTTTGGAAGAACCCATTCCAATTCTACATTTGATCTAATAATCATCTACGATGACCTTGAGCCAGTGTGACCAATTTCGATGGGCTTTAAAAAAATATTCAAACCACAGAAATAAAAACCCCCCAATAACCTAAAGTCCCACATAAATAAAATGGAGCTGCAGAAGTTACAACTACAACAACAAGAAAAAGACCATAAGAGTTGAATTTTTTCATTTTTTTAATTTATTCGTTAAAATTATAATTTTTTATGAATATGGCTAATATGAGAGTATGTGCGCGTGTGTGTATTCGTTTTGTTTGAGATAAAGAAAAAAAAAACAATTTACATACAATTCGAAATAATAATAAAAAAATAACAGAAAAAAGCAATAACAATAAAATGTAACAAACAAAACAAATGAATGATAATAACAAAATGGCAAACAAACACAACTAAAATGAGGTGAATTTTTGAATAATGGGGCAAGATGATCGGCACTGGTGCTGACTAACTGACTGGCTGACTGATGCAAACTGGCTGACTGACGTTTACAACAATTAGCCAATCTTAAGGGGAAAATATTAATGACTTTTTTTGGCCAGATGATGAAACTATGCGAATTATCTCCACACACACACAAAAAAAATCCGAAGATGGTGGGAACAATTGTTGCAGCAATTAATTGGTCCCTAATGAACCATAGCCATAACTGATGATTGTTTCCCATAGTAGGCTTACGAAAGCCGCACAGGTGAGTAATTAGGTGAAGAGTTGTCGTAATTCAGTTGAGGTTGTGACTAAAGCTAATCAGTGCTATAACGTGTTGCCAAAAACGCAACACGACTTTTGATGGGATGGGTGCAGGGTGGCAGTTTGCAATGATAGTCATGGAGGTGATGGTCCAATGTTGGTGTAACGGAAATACCACTCAACAACACTGGCGAGAGAATTTCCTCCTCCTTAATGTTTCACAATACGTTTACGACCTCGGGGTGTGACTTTTTTGTGATTACGCTTCTGACGTGGTGGCAAATAGCCACGAGACTCTCCGCTACTACTTTGATGCTCCGATACATCCTGATGATCATTGAAGATTTTCACAGTTTGCACTTCGTGTTTGTGGTCAGTTACAACTTTGACAACACGATGTTCACCCATGGGTTCCTCATTGCTGGTACCTAGAATTTTAATGGTCTTAACACCACTGTGATCCAAGGATTCTAAAACTTTGAGAGTTTTCACAGCATTGGTGTTGACAATTTGTACGGTACGTATTTTAGCGGAAGCTTTTGGAGCACCAGCTACCTTTGGAGTTGGTGTAGAGGAAATGCCAACATTGGAGTGACCCGTGGAGATTTCTTGTCGCAAATCTTTGGGCATAAAAGCTTGCAAGGCTTGACGTGTTTGTTGATTAAGGGCGGAACTGGTGAAACTATTACTAACCTCATGGGACCTATAAGCCTGGGTACTGATTGTATTTTGGGCATAGGACATGGCGGGAGCATAATATTGAGGTCTGGTGGCAGGTTCTTTATACATGGGAGCAACGTCATTGGTATTTATGGCCACTGATGTTGCTGCTGCCGCCGCAGGTGGTGGTCCATATTGGGCAAATGGTTTTCTGGCACTGCCATAACGTTCATAGGGCTGAACACTGGTCATATAGCTGCTCAAGGGATGCATATAACTTGCCTGGCTTTGGGCTGAGTTCACAAATGGCGGCAAATAGCCAGGACCTTGGAATGTTGAGGGTAAGGCGTATGAGGGTCTTGGTTCATTGGAGGTGGGTGGTAAATAAGCCGAAGCCTTAAATCCAGAAGGAGCCAAAAAGCCGGGTGTCTGTAGTGTCGAGGTTGAAACTTGAGATACCGAGCTGGATGTTACTACCCCCGAAGATTGTTCGGCATTATTAGTGGGAGGTAAATACTCTGGACCCTTAAATGGTGGTTGACTAACGGGTGGTAAATAGCTGGGAGCCTTGAAATTATTATTACCAACAATGGTTGTTTGTTGAACGGTCTGGCTTTGAGTGTTTGGTGCCTGCTGAACTTCTGCTTCCACAGGTTTTTGGAAATCATAACCAGGTGGCAAGTAACCAGTTGTTGCTTGCTTAAATTTATTGTTGATATTGGCAACAACATTTGTTTGTTGTGTTATTTGTTGTTGTGGCTGTTCATCGGGTTTTTGGAAATCATAGCCGGGTGGTAAATAACGAGGTTCCCCCTCCACTTTGTGTTGGGCGCCATTTGTATTGACTTGCGCAGGGCTTGGTGGCAAATAACCAGGAGCCGGATAGGATCCTCCCTGAGATTGTTGTTGTGGGACTGGAGGTAAATAAGCAGGGGCCTGATATGTTACACTTTGGGTTTGGTGTGCCTGTTGAGAAGAAACTTGGGCCTGATAGGTTACACCTGGGGTCTGTTGTGACTGTTGAGAAGAAGCTGGCGCCTGATAGGTTACACTCTGGGTTTGTTGAGTAGAAACTGGTGGCAAATATGGAGGAGCCTGATAAGATTCGCCCTGTGTTTGTGGCTGTTGGGGAGAAGCTGGTGGCAAATATCCTGGAGCCTGGTAGGTGCCACCCTGAGGTTGTGATTGTTGACCTGCAAATGACCCAGCAGTCTGATATGCTGAAACTCCAGCTGTGGGACTTACGGGACCATTTCCCGGTTTTGCAGTTCCATAGATAATATCGGAGGATTGTTGTCTAACCGGTGGCAAATAACCAGGAGCCTGATATGTACCCACGTTTCTTGCTTCCACTTGACCCCCAGAGGAAACTTGCAGATGTGCCCTTACCGTAACTTCTTGATTATTAATATTGTTGTTGGTGTTCGAGAAAGTGTTGGTATCATCATCCGGTAAAGTGTGCAATTCATTGATGGCGGCCTCTGCATTTTCAGGCTTAACAAAATCATAGCCTGGTGGTAATACCCCAGAGGGGATATACACATTTTCCACGACACTTTGTTGTGTGGAACTTACCTGAGGTGGTAAATATTCAGGACCCTTAAATGAATTACTTGGTGGTGGTGGTAAATAATCTGGTCCCTTGAAGGGATTGTTATAAGGAGTTTGACCATTTGACGTAATTGATTGGGATGGAGCAGCATTTGTGTTCGCCAGGGGTGGCAAATAATCAGGACCCTTAAATGGTGTATTTGTTTGATATTGAACTTGATTGCTGGCACCTCCGCTCACACTTGGCTGGGGTGGCAAATAATCGGGACCCTTAAATGGTGTATTGGTGGGTGGCAAATATTCTGGAGCCTTGTATTGTTGCTGATTATTGGAGACTACGCCTTGGGATGTAGTTTCCTGATATGATCCTTGTTGGTTAACACCACCAGTTGGTGGTAAATATTCTGGGCCCTTATATTGCTGACCACTTGCTTGTGGTGGTGGCAAATAATCGGGTCCTTTAAATTGATTATTCGATGGGAAGGGGTTTGGATTATTTGATACTCCGCCATTGGGTGGCAAATAATCTGGACCCTTAAAGGCTCTATTTTCATTACTGGTTTGGGGAGGTAAATATTCGGAACCTTTGAATACTACACCGGAATTTTCAGCACTACCCGATACGGGTGGTAAATAGGGACTACCCTGATATGGGGTTTCCTGTTTTGGTGGCAAATAATCGGGAGCTTTATAGGAATTCACAAATGCCGTTTGTTGTTGTTGCTGCTGACGCTCATTGTAATTATTTTTCTTAGAGGATTTCTCCGGAAATTCATGACGATAATTTGAGGGAAAGGGTATGGGAATCTTTTCATTATTCCCAACCACTTCGTTTTCTTCAACGCGGGAATGTTTGTTCTCCGTTGTGGCACCTCCATCACTAACAATTCTCAATAAGGTGGCATCTAAATTTGGATCATCCAAGGGAAAACCTGGTGGAGCATTAATGTGTTGTATACGAATTGCTTGTGTCCGACCCGAACTAGATCCAGCATCGCCAGCTGGAGTATTGAAGCTATTGTGCACCTCATACACTTGATATTTAGAGTTGCCATATTTTGATTCTTCGAATTGTTGTTGTTCATTTCCTACTGCATCTTCTGAATGGCTGGGTGGTAGATATTGATTTTGTTGAAGTTGTTGTTCTTTCAATTTCAAGGAAATATCTGCAGCGGCCAAGCCCAACAAAAGTAATCCAACAAAATGGGCAAGAAGCTGGATGACGTCGTATGGTATCAATAACAAGAAACATAAAAAATTATAAAAAATATTAAAATATATATTTTGTTACTGTTGTTGTTGTTCGGGGGACTGAGCGGTAATCCACAGTTTGCTCGTTTTGTCCCCACAGAGTTATGGTTATATTTGTTGTTTTTTTTCTGACTTACCTTCATCTTGATGTTGGTCTTGTGTGTATCTATCGAGGTTCCAACATGCAATGTTACTACTAACTGACCTATCCACACATTTTATATCAATCTAATCTTCCAATAAACGCCTCTAAGCGTTATTCGTCTCTTCTTGTTTCATTCATAAAATGTTTCATCTCCTCAAAACACTTTTTTCGAATCTTAAAATATCTCAGCTTCATTGTGTTTTTGTTTGGAGTGGCGCATGTGCAGCTCTTCACGAGTTTGTTTGAATAAATAACAACAACAAATATACAAATTATTAATGTCAGCTCTTGATATGATCTAGTTAGTCGTATATCTGCTAGACAATCAGCTCTTGTTGTTTTACTCACCCGCTGCTAGCACAGTGGGAGCAGAGATTCCTGAATGGTAGTTATCAATTATGAAATTACAGTTAACTGTAATCTGATGACTCAGGAAATCGTTTCCATCGAAAAGAGACACTAAACACCAATACGAGATATTTGCATAAATATTTTTAAAACAGTTTAAAATTGACCCAGGTTTAATTTTCGGATTAACTATGTTAGAAATATAGACGAATTCCAAATATATGACGTATTTTTTACAGCCAGTAGTGGACATATTTATCAAAACAATTAAGCCGTTATAGCTTATAACGACGTTGAAGGGACCGACGAAATTGGTCGCCATAATCGATACCTTTTAAAATCCGTTACTTCATAAACGATTTCGCATATATGTGCCAAACGATCATTGTAAAAGTGATGAAAAAAATCTCCAAATTATGTTAACATTTTTAATTTAAAATATTTCTGAAAAATTAATTGATATTTCATTCATTGGCTCAGTACTTCAAGATACGCATTATGAAGTATTTTAAATATATGAGTAACATTGTAGCAAATTTAAAGTGGACATTGCAAATTACAAGTGTTTCAACGGCATTGGCTAATTTCTCACACAACTTATTAAAAATGACATTGTATTGAAGAAGTGATGTGGTCTTGAACAAAAACTCTTGAAGAGCCTCTAAAAATGTTATGTTTTTTCTTGGAATTTTGTAACAAAATAATTTTGTTCGATTTGTAGTGTAGGATTGTGGGAATCACAGAAAATCAATAATTGAAATGACCAAAAGCAGCAGTTGGTAATAGGGATAAGTAAATCGACTTTCGATTAATCGACTTTTTGTATTAAAAAATCAACAAAATCGAAGTCGACTTTTGATCTTTAAGGAACTCGCAAATTCCACTTTCGATTTTCTTTATAAATATTAGGTTGGGGACAAAGAAATTTTTTATATTAACTATAGGACTTTATTAAACATGCTTCAGAATGTCCGATTTGGGTCAAATATTATGTACCGTTTTTTTGTATGATTTTTTGCCATTTTTAAAGGTATCTTCATAATGCCTCTCTTATAGAAATCCTGCTCTCTATTTGCAAAAAAAAAAAAAAAAAAAAAAAAAAAAAACTTTACTAATCGATTTTCACAATTCTTCCTAGATACCAATTTTTTATCATTAAAGAAATTTTGCAATTCAAGAAAATGATTATAGTCCGCACTGTATGGCGGATGCATTACAACTTCTTAACTAAGCTCCCGAAGTTTTTGGCGAGTCACTGTAGATGTGTGTGGCATAGCGTTGTCCTGGTGGAACACGACATCTCTCCTGTTGGCCAATTCTGGTCAATTACTATCAAACGGTCCACTTGTTGACAGTAGATATCAGAATTTAGCGTTTGGCCATATGGAAGTAACTCATAATAAATAATCCCCTTCCAGTCCCACCCTATCCATAGCTGAACCTGGCCGTTAGTCCTGGTTTGGCCACCGTTTGAGGTGTTTCACCGCTCTTTGACCACGACCGTTTTCACACTGGGTTTTCGTATGTTATCCATTTCTCATCTCCAGTCACCATCCGTTTAAGAAATGGGTTTATCTCAATCCATTTGGCCAAGGCCTTGCAGTTTGAAATTCGATCCATCCTCTTTTTTTCTGTTAATTGGTGTGGTACCCAAACATTGAGCTTCTTTTGAATCTTTTTGAATCCAGCTTTGTGTAAATGGTTTAAAACAGTTTTATGGTCGATTTTTAGCTCCTGGGCGATTTAACGACATCTAACATACCGGTCAACTTCGACCATTTCGATGATTATATCGACATTTTCATAATGGATTTCTTTTTCCCAAACCTAATACTTGGTTTATTATCCCCTAAAGCCCAAATTACTCAAAAATTACACATTCCAGAACTTTATTTAATCTGTCGAAATTTATATACGTTGAAAATCGATTTGGAACAGTTTTGACAAAATCGAAAGATCGAAAAATCGACCTTTTAGTCAGAGGAAAAAATCATAAAGTCTAAAAATCGACTTTTGCGCTCGTCTAGGTATCCATAGTTTGTAATAGAGAATTGAAACTGGCTTAGCTCCGGCATGTGAATTACCAAATACATTAATTTTCCCAATTTATTTGACATTTCAAAAAGTAGAGGCTGGAATTCGGAAAAAAGGGTCTAAATTTTCAATAATTATAAATCGCATATTAGGCGAAAGTAATGTCCGAATTGATATAAACTATTTTTTTACCAAACCTAGATCTAGTCCGAAGGTGGAACCCGTAGGCCACCTGCTTCTTCTACCACCCCCAGAAAGGATAAATATTTTATAAATTTAATTTAAATCGAATAGAATGACCGATTTGATCAGCATTAAATCTGAAACATCTTTAATAAAAACATACCTTATATAAAAGATTTAATAGTTTGGACATCCAATTTGGACAATGGCTCAATTTTACACAAAAAACCGCACAAAGATTTACGTACGTCCGTCTGTCGGTCTGTTGGAATCACAATAGAGATCACAATATTTAAGATAGAGCTCTGAAATTTTGCACAGACATTGCTAGATGTTTCGTATTGCTTATGGGATATATCGGTTCACGTTTCGGTGTTTCCCCCATATAACCGTACTCCCAATTTTCGGTATTTTGGCCAAGTTTTCCAACCGCATTGGTTGTTATTTGGGTTCTCATTGAATAATACATATACGTACCAAAAATTATTTATATTGAACCAAATGTTAGGGCAGCAATATTTGATATTCGATTCGAATTGGCTTTAATTTGATATTTTGGGTTCTCATTGAATATCACATATATCTGTACCAAATAATTATTTATATTGACCCAAGTTTCAGGGTATCCCCCATATAACTGTACCCCTCAGTATTTGGTATTCTATGGATTTTTTACAGGTTTTTTCACCGAATTCACTATAATTTGGTATTTTGGGTTTCTATTGAATAACACATATAAACTGTTTATAATAACCCAGGGTTTCAGGGTAGCCCCCATCTAAGGATACCCCCAATATTTGGTATTTTGGGGATTTTGGACACGTTTTCCAATCAACATGGCTGTAATTTTGTATTTTGGCCTCTCATTGTATAACACATGTCCGTAATAAAATTTTTTAATATTGATCCACGTTTAAGGACAGACCCCATAATATGGTACCCTTCCCTAATACTGGGATTTTTGAAACGTTTTGCAATCAATTCGGCTTTAATTTGGTATTTTGGTTTCTCATAACGTTATAACTACATATCCACACTAAAAATTATTATTATTGGCCAAATGGATATTTTGAGAATTATTGACATGTTTCTCAACGGAATTAGCTGTATTTTGTATTCTCATTGGCTGTCAAATCTCACTATCAAAAATATCAATATTTAACTCCGGTTTAAAATGAAACCAGTGAGCGGTGCAATATAGTCGGACCGGGCCGATATACCCTTCACAAATTCCACTGAGCTCTAAGTTACTGCGGATCTATATTCTGAGCCTGGGTAATATTACGCAATATTTGTACTATGTTGGCCTAATAGAGTTCAACAGCTCCTCAGCGGGATCTTTTTCGAATAATAGTTTCCAGAGTAAAAGTTTACTCTATAAAGGGCTAAGCAGAATGTTCACATTGAGGGTTTTTTGCGCGTTAACGCACGCAAAAAAGTTAAAATATCTTCAACTCCGAAGCACAGCGCACATCAACATCAAGCGTTTGTGTTATCGTTTCCTTGTGGTTGTTGTATTTTCGATAACACATTACCCTACGGATGGTTCAACGCGAACATTCCGCTTAGCCCTTAAGATTCAAATTTTATTATTTTAGTTGGTCAGGTCACCTTCCCCTTTGAAAATTTGTGAAAATTGTGAGGTCTATGCGACTAGAAAATCGGCGCTACATTTCTGAACTCTAGTTTGGTAATGGTAATACTAAACAATATCAGAATACGAAGATCACCTTAAACATTTACGTATATCTCCATTATCCGAGTACTCAAACCATATAATTGGCATCAATTTAAACGTCTACCACTCATCTAGAATATACTTTTTCAACTTCTCAAGTCTATGTCCTTTAGGAATACAGTCGACTCCGCATTACTGTAAGTCGCCTAACTGAAAAATATAGGATAAGTGAAATAGATTTCCAGCACTTTTATATTTTAGGTTAATCGCCCTTACTTACTCCGCATAACTGAAACTTCGTATAACTGAATATATCGGATAACTGAAATCGCTTTTGGAGTCAAATATTGCAATTTCCTTTCAAATCATTCCGTATTACTGAAAATGGTGAGAATGAAAGATAATGACTGAGTATTTTGCATTGAGGAATATACAACTTCAAAGCCCACTCTAACAAA